AGGTATAATAGTCATATTATAGAATACAGATTATATTTATTGTATTTGACATCGGCAAGTGGTTATTGGATTCAATCAAACTATAGACGTATGCGATAAATGTTGTATTAGAGTACACGAAGTGAACGACCAGATTGTGAAAAAAATTACACGACGTTAAATTGGAGTGACCCCTTCATGAAAAAGTGACCATTTTGTGTAATATTTTCGAATTTCACGAAGTGTAAAATATCCAATTCCATTTTATGAAATGGCCATATTTTCATGAAAAGTTCGATTTCACGAAGTGGCTTCGACATACACACACGGTCGTAATTACAGTTATTTTAGATTCAGAGTAGAACGATGAATGTATTGGTTTTACAATGATGTGTGTTTTTTTTTTATTTTACATTTTTTTTGGGGAATGTGTACACGATAAAGTTGTCTAAGTAATGCTTCGATTTTCCACTGCAGTATCTTGTTCAATTGGAAAGTGTATATCGTTGCTGCATTGGGGATGTAAAAATTTAAAATTCCCAGTCATTTTCAAAAGCGCCATGAAAAACAAAAGAAATAAAGGTGCTCTGCTGTACAGTAGGTAGGTTACAAGTAGGTCACTGTTTAATGGATGATATTAAATTTGAATTCAATGATATAATATCATTGTATAAGAAAAACGATTCTGAACGGAGACGGTATGTCAGTCTAGGTATAAGGCATATTATATACTTATTTATGGTATTAAAAAAATTTACCTAAAATAGGTAACTATAATAAATTCCAAATTTATCATATCACAATATCCATTAGGTACGTATAACGCGTTATACACTTATACATCAACAAAAAACCCTGATACTATCATAGATAGGTATATGATAGTGTACTTTAGAAATTTCAAGTACCCACGAATAATATTATACAATCACAACGAAATAACTAAAATAGTTATTCTAGGTTTTTTGAAGTTATACTTCTTTACGCAGGGTAGTGAGGAAAAAAAAAGCGAACGGGCGGCGCGTACGAACGAGCGGCCGTACGAACGCGAAAGCGTACATGTCCGTAAATAAATAAATATTGTCATGGTACCTAGTGTTGTTATATTATATATTTATATATTATAATATATAATATATATATAATATATTATAATCGGGCCGCGTCAATATGACATAATAATAATATTACGTATTATAAAATATATAATGTTGGTCGGTGACAGCCACAGATATATTATATTTTATATATATTAGATATATATTGTTATTAAGTGATAAGTAGTTCCTATTTAAATATTTTAAATTTCAATGGTTACTTGGTACGACTGGATTTAGTAAAAATAGTAGCTATTTTTATTTTACCTAATGATTATAATTTACAATATAATATTACCGAAATAATAATCTCGAGTTCGAACTAGGTGTGCGAATTCGCCGTCGTCGTTGTTCGCCAATCCGTTCGGTCGACTGTCGTTCGGTTACGTCATATCGTAGCACACACACATGCACAGTGTTTGTTAATTCATAGTTCGGTTATTATTAATTAATCCAAAAGAGAAACAAGCGTTGCGAGGTAAGTGGTGGTCGTTAATATTATATAAACGTTGCAAAATAAAAAAAGTGGGCAAGTGGGTGTCGCTCTGCTGTACAGTAGGTTACAAGTGGGTCACTGTATAATGCATGATATTAAATTTGAATTCAACGATATAATATCATTGTATAAGAAAAACGATTCTGAGCGGAGACGGTATGTCAGTCTATGTATAAGACATATTATATACAATCTATGGTATTAAACAAAAAATTTACCTATAATATAGGTACCTATAATAAATTCCAAATTAATCATATCACAATAGGTATCCATTAGATACTTATAACGCGTTATACATCAACAAAAACCGTGATACTATCATAGATATATAATAGTACACTTTAGAAGTTTCAAGTACCCACGAATAATATTATTCAATCACAACAAAATAACTAAAATAGGTAGTTATTCTAGGTTTGTTAATATGTAATTTCGTCCAAATTTGAATTTAAAATGTCTGTAAAAAATAACTGTGTTCATATATTTTTTAGATTTCTTGGTTACAGTATGAACTATTTACGAGAACCTTTGTGTTGAATTTGCAATCCTTAGCTATAAAAACTGAACATTTTATAATTTATTAATTACAATGATTGATAATTTTCGAGATTTTGATAAATTTTGTCAAAATTTGATCTTTAAATGCTTATAAAAAAAACTGTGAATATGTATTTTTAATATTTTTCAACTGATATTGTAACAATATATCAGGAGCCTTGTATTAAATTTTTACACTTTTTGGCCCAACAGATAAAACTTAATTGATACTTATAGAAAAAAAACTAAAAAAAATTGAAAGCTGTAAATGTCCATAAACAGCTCAAAAAGAGTCAAAATATTTTCAAAATTGTATGGTGTATAGGTGGAAATGATAATATAAACATTCAGTGAAATTTGCATGTATCTACAGTTATTCGTTTTTGAATTACAACAAAATAAGGAAATCGTTACATGAGAAATCGAGTGAACATCCAATGTTGTAAAAATTTGAATTTCAAACGCTCATAAAAATTTAATTTGACTTTCCAGTAGAGATTTTTTTATTGATAAAGGTAGACAAACTTATGAGTAATCTTGTATTACATTTTCAAATCTTAGATTTAAAAAGAAACATTTTTACGAATTCTTAACTCAAAATAATTCGCTAATTTTCGTGATTTTTCCATATTTTTACAATTTTTGAACTTTAAATGCTTATAAAACAAAATTGTGACCAAGGATTTTTAATATTTTTCATCTGACTTTGAAACAATATATTAGGAGCCTTCTATTAAATTTTCAAGCTTTCGCAACTAACAAATAAAATTTTATTGATATTTTTAGAAAAAAAACTAAAAAAAAAATGGAAAATGAAAATGTCCCTAAACAGTTCAAAATAAATCAAAATATTTTGAAAATGTTATCGTGTATAGAAAATGCAAATATAAACAACCAGTGAAATTTTCATGTATATACGTTAATTTGTTTTAGAGTTACACCAAAAACCAAAATCGATTTTTTCATTTTTGGAAAACCAATTTTGCTTAAAAATTCCCGTTTTTCCTTAATTTTTATGTTGTTTTTCCCGACGTTTGTGAAAACTACTGGAAAATGTATACTTTTGACCCCCCAAAGTACCAACTAGATTCACTTTCCTAGTTTCCTATCAGAAAAGCTACTGCTGAAGAAAATCCAAGCACTTTTACTGTCCTAAAACGTGATGACAGACACAAAAAAAAATTTAAAAAAAAAACACACATCATTGTAAAATCAATACATTCATCGTTTCACTCAGAATCTAAAACAGATTCATCTATCTTGGCCCATACTAATTAATATGAATATTTAATGATCGATTATTATTTATTTTTATTATTATTATTATTATTATTATTCACTCACAAATCTATTGTCTGGATAAAAAACAATACTACAAACAATTATCCATCGATCTGTCGAATAAAAATATAAAAAAAATAATAAAACTATCAATAATAAATAATTAGTACCATTCAAAAGAAGTTTAACTTCCCGCGCGCGTACTGGTAACACACATATTTTATGTAACTTCATCCGTATTTGAACTTAAAATGACTATAAAAATAAACTGTGCGCATGTATTTTTTTAGAGTTTTTGGTAACAGAATTGAACAGACCTGTTCGTTACACTACTTACGTGGAAATCTTGTTTTAAATTTTCAATCCTTATTGATAATTAAATGGTTATAAAAAAAATTGTGCATATGTATTTTTAAAATTTTTCAACTACCATTGTAACAATAAATCAGGGGCCTTGTATTAAATTTTTACACTTTTTGGCCCCGCCGATAAAACTTTATTGATATTTATAGAAAAAAAAACTAAAGTTATTGAAAACTGAAAATGTCCGTAAACAGCTCAAAAAGAGTCAAAATATTTTCAAAAATTTAAGGTTCTATCGAAAATGTTAATGTAAACATTCAGTGAAATTTTCATCTATCTACAGTCATTCGTTTTTGATTTACAACAAAATAAGGAAATCGCTACATGAAAATCCAATATTGTAAAAATTTGAATTTCAAACATTCATAAAAATTTAATTTTACTTTCTTATAGACATTTATTCCTTGATAAAGGTAGATAATCTTATAAGGAATCTATTGTATCACATTTTAAAATCTTAGATTTAAAAAGAAAAACTTTTACGAATTCTTAACTCAAAATAATTTGCTAATTTTCGTGATTTTTCACAAACTGATAGAGCAAAATTGTGCCGAGCTAGTCGAAACATTTTGTTTCAAACGGCTCATTTTCATTAATACTGACAAAACAAACAAAATACATACCCAAATAGTAAAGAAAGAAATACACAGCGGGAAAAGCAAAACCACATTTTGGGAGCTTTTAATTCTTGTGGAAATTTTTTAAATAGAACAGAATAATTTTTCCATAATATTTGGTGGGGAGAGGTGGGTTTGTTATGAACCACCCAAAACTTTACAACTGAAAATACTTATTTTTAAGTTGAGAAATTCATTTTGAATAATGATAACAAATCTATCCTAATATAGTACTAAAATAATTGTTCTAGTAGGTATACGATAAGGTAATGATAAGTAGCTAGATAAACTCTAACACTAATCAAAGCATTGTTGAAATAGTTTGAATTACATTACCGTTATCTGTAATGTCTCTCTTCAAACGCTGTGCAGCATGCCTAAACCAGTCTTTTATGAAAATTTCGAAAGAGTTCTCATCATTTTGAAAAAATGCCATTACAAATGTCTAAAAAATATAGTGTAAATTAAGAATACTGAGAAACAGTATTACTAAGTTATTGTATATGGAAAAATTACTTTTCATTGTTTTAATCATTTCGAGTCCATCAAGGCGACAATCGTTTTTAAAACCTGTCCATGAACAATGGGAAGCAAGTTGGTTTGAAAATAATTTGGTCAAAACTCGTTTTACTTCGCATTCGTTCCGCCGATAGACGTAATTAAATTTACCTAAAATAAAATAAATATTAATTGCTAAAGAAAAGTATCAATAATAATATCAACATATTCAGTATTTTTACCAATTTTGATTTGAATTCATTGTCAGTTTTTAATTTTTCTTCTAAATCTTTTAATGCTTCCAATTCTTTCAAAGGAAAATAATTTAGAAAATTGGTATCGACTGTTGTTAATGGTACACTGTTTGTTTGGTTTTTTTGAAGAATATTTAATATAATGTCCAATTTTTTATCAATTCTCTCCATGTACAAAGTATTTGCTGACGTTACCTTTTCCATTTTATTATAATCTATGTTTATAAATTATAACAGGAACAATATTATTTAAGGTGCTTTCATAATATTTATAAAAATTAATTAACCAAAATACCTGCAGAATTAATATCATGTTTAGAATTTTTGGTGGGCCAATAACTTGAAATGTCTGCTAAGAAAAAAATAATGTTATTTATTAACACAAAATACACTATAAATTACAGTTATAAATATTGTCATTAGTATACATAATGGATTCATTATTAGAATTTTTACCTGTTTTATTAATTATGTTGTCATAATTTTGATTAGACAAAGAAGATGAACAATTTTGTCCTTGAACTAAATTAAATCATAAATGGCACATTTTAGAGTTTTAGTTGGTTAACAGCACATTAAATTAACATAGAATATTTTTATTAATCACCTATGTTGTTAGCTGCAATATTACTACTTGTAGAGGATGAAAATAATTATACGTCAACAGCCAAATCATCTATTTTGTAATAAAAAATATAACAATTTGACAAAGTTACAATACACAAAAAAAAGTTATTATTTCACCTGTATTGTTATTTGCAATAGGATCAACTTTATGAGTTGTAGAGGGTGAATAGATTGCAGTTTCTTTTACTAAATTGAAATATAAGTAATTTATTCTTCTCAATTACTCTAATAATAGTCACAATGTATAATATATAATATATTTAATTACCTGTGTCATATGATAGGTTTGGTGGTATTCCATCCATATTATACAATATATTGACAGCATCTATAATATAGACATAAAATTATAATAAAATAAACAGAATAAACATATAAATATAAGTAATCGAAATAGATATTCCATACCTGATACATTATTGATACCAACATTTTGTGGTGTTTTCGAAATACTGAGAGGTTCAGTATCACAATCAGAACCTAGAAAATTATAAATATAACTTGCATTGTGAATTAAAATAGTTCATATTTAAACTAATAAAAAGTTGCATAATTAATTTTATAAATGTATTATTAATCAAATTTTATCTTAAAAACATAAAATGTTTATCCCATATAAAGAAGGTACAAAAATAAATGTATACATACTATCATCATTAGATTTATGGAAAGTTTTTAATATTTTTCTCCTATTTTCTTGTCCCATATCACCTATATCAGTTTCCTCACCTGATGTTAGATATATTTCCACTTCTCTTGATGCAGCATCTTCATAATTATCTTAAATGTAATTGATTGATAAGGTACATAGGTACCAAAATAAATACAGTTTAAAATATAAAAATGAAACACTTAATATATCTATACCTACCATAGCGTTCAACAACTCTAACTGGATGAGATGTCCATTTAGAAGTAGGCAATGCAGCATTTCTCAACATTGTGGGGGATACTTTCATATTAGGCCACTTGCAATAGTATGAATCGCCACATTTTGACAGCCAATTCATAGGAATGACCGAATATTTATGTTCTTTTGGAAAATATCCAATAATCCACTAAAATATATTGATTATGTGGTACAAGTCCACGAAAAAATCATTAAAGACACATTATTTTATTAAAACATGCATTTACCTATAAACTATTTAGCTTTGTACATTCTTATGATATAGTATTTTATACCTATTATATTATGCAAGTAGGTATTAATATTATATAAATACAAAATTATATAGCTACTTAACTACGTATACCTCAATAGAACGAAATCATAATACCTAAATAAATAAATAATAATAGCAATAGGTGTTAATGTAAAATATCAATACCCAGGTAGCAAAATAGTAATGATATTATTACTATAATATTACAATACCGCTATGAAAATAATATTTCCTTGTAAATATTATAATATTATTTATATTTCATTGCAATCATATTATTATTTTAGAAACAATATAGTATCATTTTTATTTTATTCCATTTATAATATTATTTGCATAATAATATATTAATGTTTTTTTATTATTTTATATGTAGGTAGTAACAATTTTTAAAATTTGCATTTCCAGCCTTCTGGATTTGATATACCTATTGGCTATTACTAAACAAATACAAATGAAAAACGGCCAAATACTAATTGCTAACACTCAAATTATTTTTCCATGTGAACTTTTAGCATTTTTTTGATTATATATCTACAACACTCCAAAAAAAAAATTTATAACTCAGTAATCTGCCTCTTATTTTAGTATTGAATAATACCTATTGCCCTATTATAATAATTTATAATTATAGTGATATAAGTGATAACTATGATTTGCGTCAGACATATTATACTTATACACACAACTGATTATCATAATATAAAAAATAATAATACTTATCTTTATCTACTTCATAAATTATCTTTTACGGTACCACGCATACGCACATAATGCGCAAAAATACAAATTACAGAGCTCAGTGGTGTGTTTGTTGTGGAGGGGGGGGGGGGGGGGAAATATACGTTTTTAGCAAAATCTTCAAACCTCATACAGACATACAGTAACTCAACCCCACCCAAAACAGCAGTTTTTGCAGTAACCCCAATGTTAGCAGTAAAAAAAAGTGTTGGGGGGGATCCCCCTCTTGATGATCAGGCCTCATCACTCCTTAATTACGCCCCTGATAGTGCATAAAAATGATATTTTTATTACTATTACCATTGATAATAAATACTATTTATTAACACTATTTATTATCAATGCTATTAGGTACTTATTGTTTTTACGTATTATAGTTCCTTATCATGTTAAAATATGGAAATATTGTAATAACTAATAACTATTGGATAGTATGTAATTTATTTCGTTCTTGTTATTCATCAGTATTATAATAATTATTACCTATACATTATTTTTTTTAATAAAAGCATATTATATAGTCACATAATATAAATAATATATACCTATTACCTACCTAAATATTATTTTTAACTATGGTTCATGGACCATGGTTTACTTATTTATCAGCTATTAAAATAAATGAAAATATTAAAAATTAAATTAATTAATTAGATTAAATTATGTTTAGGTATACTAATAACTATTAATGTATTAAAAGCTCAATAAGGGGGAATATCTATTAGGTATTGTTAGTCATTATAATAAATATTAAGTAGGTAATCAAAGTATATTAGTATAATTATATGAATGTATCATACACTTTGTAAGTAATATTTACGGATTAAGAGAGAATGAACTGGGCTAAAGTAGAAACCTTATCACCGGGCAGTCCGGTCTAATTAAGAAGACGCTATTCATGAATTTTGTTGTCTCACGTTCACGTATGATATAGCACATTTTTATTCACTAGTTGCAATAGTGTGCTGTTAGTTTTGATGAGTATTACGTACTACAGTGAATTGATCTATTATCAAACGTTTAAGTACCTACGATTTAAGAACAGTATCTGTGCTTAAGCATCAGCAACTTTTTCGATAATTTAATATTCAAGCAAGATATGGATTGGTGTGTGAAATATCTCACTTGAAAATTAAAATATCGAATGAAAACCGACGCTTAAGTACAGATATTGTTCTTACAATCTTACCTAAAAGTTTGAATAGTTTGATAATAGGTCCATTCACTCTAATATTAAAACTAACAGGACACTATGATAACGCAAATTGTCCGTGTCGTACGTGTAGGACAGAGACATCAAACTCAAGAGTAGGTAGCATATTAATAATATATTATGCTAAATAAATGCCTAAATATTGTATGGTGATTGATGAATATATTTTAATAGTTAATAATTAACATAATAATTAATATTATAATATAGTTGCAGTCAGTAGTTGTAGATGGTTGTAGCCCTAGATATGCGCTCGCTACACCCCCCTCCCCCCCGTACAAGCATACCCACCCACATCAACCCGCTTGCTCGTTTCCAGTCTAGTACTCCATTCTATCTTAGTCCGTTCCAAATTGTAATAATACTGGCGTAGACCGGCGTGTACAAGTTTATTTGCTCATGACCAGACATCTGACATAGTGACATGACTACTCACCAAACAGTCAAGGTTAATCAGTAATTACATATTATTCGAATTCGATAGTCAATACACTCAATACCGTTTGACGTTTACCGCGGTTATCGATGAAGATAAGTGAAGCCATGGAGTTTACCGATCTAAAATTAGTGGTGAAACCCGTGAAATAGTCGTGTTATTGATAATCTAATGTTATATCCAAACATCTATTATAATATATATATATATACTATACATAAATAGTATTGACTATTGAGTATTTTAGTCCCTCCGAACAGTCCAAACCCATTCTAAAAACAACTGATGCGGGACGACTGAATCATAGATTAAAGAATAGTAGTGGACTGAATACGATATTACGATAAGCAAGTAACGTGCGAGTGCCGGACGCCGGTTCGTGAACCGTCGTAGTATTGTTGTAGTGTTGTCGCCTTGTCGGTGACTCTGTAGTCTGTTTTCTTGACTTTTGTCTATGCCCGTGAATAATTGTGATCACTGGTCTGCCGTCTTCGTGACATTATATAATATTGTCCTGACTCGCCTTTTGTGTTTTACGATTACTATTGCGTTGTACAACTACCTACTTATTGCAACTACCTATCTAGCCAACAATCCAACATCTTTAAATTGCTGTAATTTGGTGACTACTGACTGGTGAGTACCCATTTTATATACCTATTTTAAATTAATTTATTTTTACATGGTTTAAACGGCTGAAATTGTGGGTGCATGTGCATTGCTAATGGCTGTTACCTACTTGTTATTCAATGTATATATGTTCAAATACCTACTTTATTTTTCTTGCGACATATTAAAGTAACTGATGGTTGTGTATGTATGACTACCTAACTTTTTATATTATATTACTAAACATTAAACAGTGCATAGCTAGGCTAACTTACCTAATAATTTTAGTATTTTCTAATATTAACGTAATTTATTATAATGGTACTGCTATTTGTCGTTGTACAATACCTCAATGAGTCTACTATGTATGTTTATGAATATTTGTTGAAGAATAGGTACTTATAGTGTATAGTTTATAGTAGAGGATATTATCAATGCATTAGTTATTTGTTTTCTCTGACCAACTCGTTGCCAATTATTAGAATTATTAATCCTCAACCTATGTGGCTACTTATATTTATGTATTAACCTACCTACCTATATTTATTTTATTATAAACTTTAAATTATTAAGGTAGGTAGGTACTTACTGAATATTTCCCATTAGGTAAAATGCATAATTTTTTTTTTGTTTTAGCTTGATTATGAAAAAATTAAATGCTCTTAGTTATCGATCTAAAAAAAGGAGAATTGATGAAGAGTTACAATCTCATTTAAGTAATTTTTCAAGTTTAGAGTGTTCCTCTACTATCAATAACTCTATTAATCATAATACTGATAGACAAATTACTGAAAACTATCCTGAAAACCTTGTTGTATCCAACAATTATGATCTGCTACCAGAAAACAATGTATCAACTAATAATGCTTTTCTTAACATTCAGGAGCCACCTTTACAACCTGAAAGTTCTGATGATCACTTCGACAGTGCATCTTATCCAAATATCGATTCATTGTTGGATGATAATTTGACTTTAAATACAGAAAAGGCTTTTAAAAATGAATTAGCAGAATGGGCTATTCAAAATAAAATTGCACATACTGCTTTAAATAGTCTTTTATTAATATTAAAACAACATAAATGTTTTTCATTCTTGCCTAAGGATGCTAGAACTATTTTACACACAAAACCCATTGATATATGTAAAATGCGAGATGTTAATCCTGGTAAATATTACCACTTTGGAATAGAAAATGGAATTATTCGTTCTTTTTCAAATTGTGATGTAAGAGTTCAACGTTTGGATGAGATTAAACTTGTTATTGGTATTGATGGGTTACCAATTTCTAGAAGTAGTTCAAATCAATTTTGGCCTATTTTAGCATATATAAGATCAAAATTAAATACTGTATTTCCAGTTGGATTATACTTTGGTACTGAAAAGCCTATTGATAGTAATGACTTTTTAAAAGACTTTGTGAATGAAGCAACACAATTAGTTTCAAATGGTATTTTAATTCAAAATTGTGCTTATAAAGTTGTTATAGATGTTTTTTGTTGTGACACTCCCGCAAGGTCGTTCGTATTGAAAACTAAAGGCCATAATGGTTTTTTTTCATGCACAAGATGTGAAATTGAAGGAGAGTATAAAGAGAATCGATTATGTTTTCCTTATTCTGATATTTCAAATCGAGAAGTTAAAAGAACTCATGATAATTATCTTAATCAAACCGACATAAATCACCATTCATCAGCTACTAGTATTTCATCTGTTGTAGAGATATCTGGTGTGAATGTTGTATCTTCTTTTTCCCTCGATTATATGCACTTGGTAACTCTTGGTGTTATGAAAAAACTTATACTGTTATGGATGAAAGGGCCTTTAAATGTTCGATTACCCTATTCAAAAATTAAACAAATTTCAAATTTATTATTGAGTTACAAATCTAAATTTCCTTGTGAGTTTTCTAGGAAGCCCAGAACTTTACAAGAAGTATTACGCTGGAAAGCCACAGAATTTCGTTCATTTCTACTGTATATAGGCCCTATAGTACTGAAAAATATTGTGTCCAAAGATTGTTATAAAAATTTTATGGCACTCAATATAGCAATGATTATATTATTGTCTCCCAACCTCGGTTCATTAGTACAATATGCTGATAATCTACTAAACTATTTTGTATTAACATTTGAACAGATTTATGGACAATATCTTATATCTTCAAACATTCATGGTTTAATTCATTTAGTAGATGATTATAAACAATATGGGCCCCTAGACAATTGCAGTGCTTTTCCTTTTGAGAACTATATGAAAGTTCTCAAAAATATGTTAAGACAGCCTAATAAGCCTTTGGAACAAGTTGTTAAAAGATTCAGTGAATGTGATAACTTTAATTTAAGTTCAAATACAAATAATCAAAGCAACAACCGTTTATTAAAAGGACCACATAATAATGGCCCTTTATTAGTTGGTTGTGTAAATCCACAATTTAATACATTAGTTTTAGAAAATTATAAATTAAAAGTCAAAATCGATGCAGATTCATATTTTGCTTCTAAAACAAATGACATTATAAAATTGATTAATATTGCTCACTCAAATGACACTGGTTCAATAGTTTTAATTGGAAGAAAATTTGAATTAAAAGAACTATTCTATGATGAACCAATTCAGTCATCTTATTTTGGAATATACACTGTTAAAAATTTATCAATGAATATGAGTACTTGGACTATCAATGATATCCAAAGGAAAGTGATGTTATTATCAGTGAATAACATTAGCATTGCTATTCCATTATTACATCATTCTTAATGTATAAATTGAAGTTATATAATTATAAAAAGAAAAAAAACAATTACCTATTACAATATTAAAAAAAAAAAAAATGTAAATATATTTTATTATTTTATCTATTTGATGCATATATCTTGAAAGTTATACCTATATTACTCATAAAATAACCTATCAAGTACATTCACATCAACACAACATCAACATCAACATCACAAAAACATCACAATCGGATTAACAATTTAAAATTCATAGATAATACTAAGTCGGGTTTCGGCAGCCAAAGCGATAGCATGTGCGCTGTTCCGTAATGTGTTACGTATCTTATCAGTTTACTTTTAATTGCCATGGCTAATGTGGTTTCTCCTATCGTTATAATTAACAAAAACACCGTTCGCAAATCGAAAATGAATGCCACTCCAACAAAAAGAGCCCTCTCATCGTCATCGTCATCACCAAACTCTCCGGTCCACGAAGACAAAAAGAGCAAAGTTTTTGTTTCCCCAAACCGTTTTGAAGTCTTAAGAACGGAAGACGAAGAACTTGATATCGCCAACCTCCCCGTCTCACCATCCAGCGTAACGTTGCCAGTTCAGAATAACCTCAAACTTCCTAACATCGTCCTAAAAAACGTAAGTGACTTTACTACTCTCAATAAGGATCTTACCCGTCTGGTGGGCCCAGAGAGCTTCACCTGCAAAGCTAAAAAATCCAGTTTAATTTTACGGACAAATACACGAGCTCAGTATGTAGCCATTAAATCTTATCTGATCAATGCCGCCTGTGATTTTCACTGTTATCAACCCCGCGCTCTCCAACCGTTCCGCGTTGTATTACGTCACCTCCACCACTCTACCACCACCGAGGACATCATTAATAGCCTAAGAGACCTTGGACACAAAGTTATCAGCATTTCAAACATACTCAATCGTACAAACAAATCGCCACTTCCGTTATTCAATATTTCCCTAGCCCGCAACAGCAACAACAACGACATTTTCAAAATAAACAAATTGTTTAACTCAATTGTGAAATTCGAGCATCCGATAAGGCCACTTGGTCCTCCCCAATGTCACTCTTGTCAAATGTATGGACATACACGCAATTATTGCCACCAACCTCCGCGTTGCGTGAAATGTGGGTTAAGCCACCTCACCGAAGATTGCTCTAAACCACGGGAAGAACCCGTTAAATGCGCCAACTGTAACGGTAACCACACTGCCAACTACAAAGGTTGTCAAATTTTTAAAAATTTACTAAAGCGCACCATTTACAAAGTCGCTTACAAAGCTGACAAAGTTGAAAAACCGAAAAAACACCCCAGCCCACCATCTGCTGTACCTGTTGCACCACAAATCTTCAACGTCCCCAGTTACAACTCAAATCAAAAACCGACATCTTATGCCAAAGCCACAGCCAACTCTTCATCAGTCAATCAACCTCTCCACATCATCAACAAATTTATTGAAGATTTAAAATGTATTTTAAACCCTCTTCTATTGGCTCTTACTTCCCTAATTAACAAAATTACACTTCCCATTTCGTCCACTCCATGACATCCCTCACCCCAAGTTAGAGGGTACCCACACTGGTGGGCCTCCCTCCTCAAGCCATTCATGTTATTATTGTTTCTTTCATTACCTAATTTACTTATTGTATCATAAAAATTACAGATTGTAAATATTCTATTTATCTAATAAAATAAAAAAAAAAAAAAAAAAAAAAAAAAAAAAAAAAAAAAAAAAAAGATAATACTAGCTAACACCTATTTTTTAAATGTACAGTTGACTTGATGGACCAAATTGATAGTTGAATATTCAAACATTAAAAGTAAAATATATATTTGTTCTATATGCGTACTTAACTTGTTGCTAGCCTTAAATTAAAATAATAATTGATATGTGTTTAAATCTATGCATATTAGATAATACTAATAATATTAATATATATATATCATAATATGTTGGTAAACAAAATAGAAATATTTAAATTATGTGGTGTATATGGCATATTATGTTGTACTTCATACCTACTAAAGGGTTTTATTTTTAACTTCTTAACTACTAAACAAGTAGATATAATTTTAGTTTTTTTTTTAATTTCTAACAAAACCAATTGATGCATCATGCATGACTGATATTATGTTACCCGTTCTATGTTTAGTAGCTTATAGCTTAGTATACTTATTTATCGATGCATGTACATTATTTATCAATATTATATCGTCATTTTAAGCCAATACAAATCATGTTATGCAGCAAAAAAAAAAATGTTTGCTTATATTTTTGCTTAAAAATGATAATAGTGGAGTACCTACCTACAAATTTAAAATAATAAATGTTAAATTTTTTTTTTCAGTATACACTACAGCTTTATCATGTGGACTGTTGTTCATTTCGTTAAGGAAAATTCGGTTGAAGCTGTACCTAGCCATTGGGTTAAAAAAACAACTTGTGCGTGGCCAAAAAAGGATATTAAAAAACATATTCACAGAAGAATAATTGTAAATAAATCCGATTTTAATTATTTTCCTTCAAGAATTTTAAAAAAAGGCATAGGTAATTTTATAATTTTTTTTATCTATTTAGTATAATATATGCGGTGTGAGGCAAAAAAACTACGTTGTTTATGATAAGCTAAGCCTGCAATTATCAAAAAATATAGGATAAGCTACAAAACATATAATTTAATGTATAAATACACATTATGATTAAGTAAATAGTGAAAAACTAGCCTTTTTATCCCATATTGTATACATATGTATAATTTATTCTAGGAAGTCTTGGAGATATGTGCATTTAATAAAATTACTTATATCAAATATTTTAGATACTCTCCATGAAGCTAAATTGAAAGTAAGAATGGCTGAAAACACATCCGATCTTTCTACTAGTGAAGATGTTCAAAATAAAACTAGAAAGAGAAAACTTATAGTGGAAGATGCTCCTATTTTTGCTGGTTCATTAAATACAGGTAATTGTCATTTTAATTATTATTGTTTCCTTTAATTAATTTTGTTAATCATTAATAATAAACATTTTTCTAGATGTTTTGTCTAGTTCCTTGTGTGACTACCCAAAACCAAATATATCACACAAGATAAGCTCACCTTGTTCTACTTTAGAAGTTAGAAAAAAATTATTTGATGCAACCTCTTCTACTTCTAGCCAAAGTATTATTCTACTAAAAATAGTTAAAATGTTGTCCTTGGTCTAAATAATTTTTAATTGATTTAATAATTTTATTTTTCAGAAGATTTTCTTATACCAAGTTATAATTATAAACAAAAATATAATACACCGACTTTAAGTAGTAGTACTGTTACTGAAATAAGTAATGAATTATATGATTATAGAACTATAGGTATCGTGATTGTTATAACTTAGTATTTTTGTTTTTATTTTATATAATAATATATACATATTTGCATTATAGATGTCCCTACAAAAAATCATAATGATTATGATAAATTAGAAGTTTCTAATTCGCAGGACTTCTTTGATTTTAAAAATGATTCATCATCGGATTCTAATGGTTCTGTAGGTTGGTATAAGAATTAAATAATTTTTAATTGTTTTAATAATTTTTAAAACATTTTTAATTCTTAGAAATGAATAATCAAAATTCAACTGTAGTACATACTACTTCTTCTCCATTTAAAGTGACTATGTTGGATTCTACTCAAGTTGAAACTATTGCAGCATTAAATCCACTCGAACATAAGGGTTCTGGTATCAAAATGTCTTTAGGTAATATTTATACAAATATTAAATAAAATATAATGCTAATTTTATTTCATAATACATAAGGTTACTGTTTAAAACGCGGGAAATGTAAACAACAAAAACTACCCATCTTTCTTCAATCAGTCCGATAAATATAGTGTACAGAAAATGTTATGAAAATAGATTTGAATTCAGCGTGATATGTACACTTTTTGCAATTTATTTTTAGTTTTTTTTTTTAATGATTGTCATTTTTTTGTAAGTTAAGAACTGTTATTATAAAAAGTGGCATGACCGTTACAATGTAGATTTGATGCTGAATTCAAATCTGTTTTCGGAATTCTTATCTCTTCATTATATACAGTAATTTTACTAATAGACTGGCTCTCTTCATGTGTCCACCGTATCGAGATAGGTGGCAATTTTTAGTTACTAAGTTACTCTGATACGGTACAAAATATAATATTATATTTGTATAGTATATATTTATACTAAATGAGCTGCATCACCGTGCCATGTCTGTATGCGACTATCAATATATTTGGTATAGGATGGACCGGTCTGTTAGTAAAAGGTATATGACTATACATCAATTGGACTGATATTGAAGAAAGATGGTTAGTTTTATAGCTCAGGTTCGACAGATATCCAGTTGCCTTTACCTTTTTAAACATCATTTCAAATTCAGTAAAATTAATCAAAATCTTTTCGAACAATAAATGTTTTAGATGCTTTTGTGTTATTAAATCATTATTTAGTATTAATATATTTTTATATTTCAGTTGATAACTCTTCGGCTATATTCACTCCATCATCTTCATTCCGTGGATCTTTAAACCGAAACTGTACTACTCCTAGCACAATTCCAAATGTATCAGATTCCAATGGTAATGTTCTAATATATGCATATTCATTGACAAGCTTTTCTAATATAAATCATTACTTTTATTATTTATAATTCAGATACATTGAAAAAAATTTTAAGTGTTGTCTTAAAAATCAAATATGACATTGAGAACCTGACATACAATCAAAACAGAATGGATAGCATTTTAAATGATGTAGTCTTGACAAATGAAAGAAGTGTTTTAAATCAAGACAGTTTAAATACTGCAAGTGATGACAATGATTACAGTTTGATGTTGCCATTGCACAATGAAGATGAACTAAGCGAATTTGAAAACAAATTACTAAACAAATCTTTCAGATTAAATGTTGTAAGTTATTCTTTATGTTGGTATATGATTTATACCAATTTATGTGCAAACTCCATTATATGTATGTATTAATAATAAC